TCCTAATATGAATACCTAGTCTACTTTAGCATGCATAACATATCATAGCATATCTCATAACACATATTGTAAGGGTATTTTGGGGATTTTACCGTTCGGGCGTTGGCTGACCGTACACACTGCTCCTTCTTTGGTTATCTCAAAACCTCTTATAAAACTTTATGCTTTTATTATTGGAAATTTTTTCTCAAATCCTCGGTTTGAGTTTAGTTACTCCCGAAGGTGCACCCGAATCCCTCAAACCAAGACTCTGATACCAACTTGTAACAACGTGAATTTTCAAAACAATTTTTCATTTTTCAAATAACATAAACCATCATTCAATATTCTCGAATCTCATGTTTAGCAAACGTCATCATAATAAAAATATATCCCAAGATCATAAAATAAATCTTCCGTCAGTGTATACAGATCATGTCGGCGCCTTCCCACGGTCCTCGCTAGTACCTGAAACACATAACACAATAACTGTAAGCATAAATGCTTAGTGAGTTCCCCAAAATACCACTTACACACACTCGCCCTTCCAGGCCATGACCTTCCGGTCCATTTGTGTCTCAGGGGACTTCCGTCCCAACCCGGTAAACCTTTCGGTCCTACCCATGTCGACCTTCCGGTCCATAACTCCCTAACCTTCCGGTCTACATCATAATGCCTTCAGGCCCATAACATAATGCCTTCCGGCCCATATCAAGCATAACATACACAGCACATACAAAACGGGTAACTAATCACATACAATGCATATATCTTATAGCATATCAAACCTTCCGGTCACACATAGGTACCCTTCCAGGTACAGTATAGTGAGAAGACTCACCTCTGATATCTCGGTAAATCACTGACTCGGTAGAAATACGATCTAGCCTCCGCCTAAACACATAAAATAATATTCTCATAAATATAACTCTCAGAACTAGACTCTACTTTCTCTAAGCTCCCTCAGAAGGGTGAAAGACCATTTTACTCCTCCTTTGGCTCAAAGGCCCTCGTTGTTGACCAAACCCTAAAAGTCAACCAAAGTCAACGGTCAAACCTTAACCCAACTCGGTGAGTGCACTTGGGCAACTCGGCGAGTCCACTTGTGTCCACTTAACTCTTTAGTCCCATTTAACACGTCGAGTCCTTCCCTTTACTTGATGAGTCCCCAGGTAAGAATCGTGGGGCTACCCCGACTCAACACGCTGAGTCCTAAGAACAACTCGGCGAGTACATGCCATGCATACGTTCTATTGACCTCCTAAGGTCAGATCTGTTCCTCAAATCCATAGATCTGTCCTTCCCAAGCAATATAATCACGTAAAGCTCGAAACTTGATGCTTATATATATATATATATATATATATATATATACATAATGGCATCAAATGGTGATTTATTCCCAAAAATGGCAACCTAAGTCCAATCACCCCAAAAAGACTCATAAAGCTTCATGGGTTGAAGTCTCTAGACCCCTTTGAGTCCAGATCCAAAGCACACTCTCGAGAGGGGACTAAATACTCTACATATTCTTCTCCTAAAGGGTTTAAAAAAAACCAAACTCTATGAATCAACACCCAAAACTGGAGAAGGTCCGAAGGAATACCTTAATATGAAGCCTTTGAACTCTAAAGATACAAGATTTGCACTTCCTTTTGGTCACCTCTTCCTTCAAATTTTACCAACAATTGATCAACAATGGCCTCTCTTATCCTCACAAGCGATCTAAGACTCTCTCTGGGGTGTGGTAGCCGTACTGGATGACCATAAGGGCCTTTAAATAGGCTCCAACCCCGGAGGATTAGGGTTTCATTAAACAACGTGGACTCGCTGAGTCCACTCATGGACTCGCCGAGTCCAACACGAACCTGGATGATCAACCGCGACCCTACTCGGTGAGTCTAAGCATCAACTCGCTGAGTTCCTTCACAAATTCCAAAAATAAAATATTAAAATAATATACTTGGGATTCCAGATGTTACAATGCCTTAGGAGGTACGATAGTCTTTACTGCTTTGTAACCCTAAACATCTCTACAGTCGAAGTTCTTAATCAAGCTCTTTTGAGGTGTTCAAGTTAATCATTTGACATCTGTTCAATCATCTTGTGTTCATTAATTATTTGTCTTTATTTTCTGCTTGAATCTAACGATCATTAAGGTGTTAATATTCCAACAGTAATTAGTACGTTAGAATGTCAATTCATTAGACAACTAAGTACTTATATTTTCCCATTACTTTCATAAAGTGACAGTTCCACTTGAAAGTTAATGCAAGCTATTTTCAAGTCAATATAGTTATAGACTAGGGAAAATCTTACATCTTTTCAAACGACAAACAGAACATTCGGGTCTAGTACATTCAGTAGAAAAGGATCATAATGCTAACCTTATGATTCCTTAATGCATACATCAAGATATATATATATATATATATATATATATATATATAATATCTGATAGGTAATAGGATGTATGCTTTCTACTTCATTTCCTGTTCCTTGTTTGGTTGTGGGCTTAGAGCGGATTCACCCAGCCTATTATCCATTCGATAGTAGTTATATATATATTCCGTATACATTAAGTCATCATAAGGGGTACCAGGTATGGGTCAGGTCATAGGACACTAATTCAATGCACAATTTTCTAGTACAAAACATACTTTTCAAATTAGAACTTTGGATATACAAAACTAGAAACTTACCGGTAAAGGGTTTAATTCATTATATTAAACCATCATTTTAAAGGACCGTAGGTAGTTAACTCTACAATACCTTAGTTTATACATCAAAGGTTATATATAGTTAATATCCAATGGGTAGTTGGATGTGTGCCTTCCGCCTCATTCCTGGTTCCTTGTTTGGTTGTGGGCTTGGGACAGATTCACACAATTAACTATCTGTTCGATATTAGATTATATATAGCTAGTATAAACTAAGTGATTATAGAAGGAACCACTGTGGTTACTATTTTATTATAAGAAATAAGGGTTTTCTTAACGAATCTTTTTCATAAATTATAAAGGAACTATTACAGTTAACTCCGTGAGTACTAAGGGAATACACCAGGGTTATATACAACAAGGATCTAACAACCAATAGGATGTGTGTCATCCGCCTCATTCCCTGTTCATTGTTTGGTTGTGGGCTTAGAGCAGATACACACAATTGATTGCTTGTTTACTCTGAGTTTTATATAACTTGTATCCATTTAGTACTCATAGAAAGGATTGTAGAGTCATTTTTACTTATCTTTCATCAAAACAGGAAATATAGGATTTTCTGGAGGAACGGACGAACTTTTCTAAACATAACTTACAACTTACTACATTTTTCAACTACATTTTACAATAATTTTCTACAACTTACTTACATCACTAAAATCTTATGAACTCACCAACTTAATTGCTGATAAACTCTTTCAAATAACTTGTATTCTCAGGAAACTAGTAGACATGTACTCGCGCTGGGAATTTAGAATATGGAGCTTAGTAGCTTCAAGTCTTGTTTTGTTATTTGATTATGTATTCTATGTTCTGTGAACACACGCATTGTAAACACTTTCTTTCTAAAGAAATGGTTGTTCATTACTTTGCTTAATATGATACATGTCTTGTGATACTAAACATGACGTCCTCCGCCCCCAAACGTTTCCGCCGTTCCGGTTTTGGGGTGTGACAAAATCGTTCATAAAGATGGATTGAAAATTGATTCATACAAATGGGTTTTTTGAGAGATCAATTTGATGGATTGTTCATCCAGATGAGTTTTTAAGAGATCAATTCTCTCTGTGTGGGTTTTGTTGCAGAGATCGAGAGATGTGTGTTATGGTGAGAAAAGAAGTGGAGTGTGGGAAGCCATGGATAAGGGTTGCGTTTTTTGTTATATCTTGTTGGTTCAAGAAGAAAGAGAAATAAGGACGGGAGAGATAATTAAAGAGAAAGAAAGAAAAGTCAAAGAGAGAGAAGATGGATGAGGCTCGTTGATTTTTTTATTTCTTTTTAATTTAAAAAATGTTCAAATAAATAGAAAGAAATGGAGAAAAGAAATTAAAAGGACAACTCGTCTTTTCAAGTTTTTTAAGGACTAAAATCATGAGAATTTCTTAATTTTGGGACCAAAACCACAAAAAATTCTTGATTTTTGGACCTTCTATACAAATCGAAAAGTTTTTGGACCATACCTACAATTTTTCTAAAACCACAAGGACCAATTTTGCAGATTTATAAAAAAAATCTAAATTACATAAGTTGTCTCTGTGGTAAGAACAAATTACATTAATTGTCCATATGGCATGAAAGACAAATAAGTCATTTCACATGTTAACTGAAAAAATTAAACACCGTTAGTCAAAAGGATCCGTTTTGCAAGATTTTCAAACAACAATGACCATCTATGAAAAAAACCACCATAGGAACTAAAATTGATGGATTTTATCAACATAAGGACCATTTATGTAACTTTGTATATATACAATGACTTCCACGAAAAAAGGGGAAAAGGGATTTTCACTTCTCAGCATATGACAAAAGTAGCTGATCACAAGATAATGTTAACAGAATCTTTCTACCCGCCCTTCCTTTTATCAATTGCCTAGAAGAGACTGATATAGCCAAATTTCCTTCACCACCAGCCAAAATTGCCGGCCCAATCTATTTGTCGTACTAACGATTCTCGATCATGCCCTCTTTCAGATTGTTCGTAAGCAGTGACGATCAGACGATTAACCAAATTTTCATATCCCTTCCACAATTGTGGCCACCTTTCAATTTCAAATGGGGCCAAGATCTGTCTATAAGGTGGACTTCGACTGTGGAAGTAAGATCACTCCCGCGGCACTTTTGTTCCCATGCAAACGATCATGTACTTTCACTAGTTGCTCTGTAAGTGACCTAATTTTGTCCTCTAGGGTTTCTGGGTTTGTAACTTGCAAGTAATTGAAGTACCAAACTGATATTTGGTATATCGTCGTTTCAGGTGGGACTCTGTCAGTTAGTAGCACAATCCTTTTCTGTTGTGTGAGAATGGGTTTTGAGCCACTGGTTTGGTTTTGCCGGCCGGAGGAAAATGGCATTTGGGCAAAGACAACCGCTAGTGCTCTTGGTGCTTATACACCGTGTGGCATTGAATCATTTGTGGGTTGTATATCGAATGTGGTTTTGATGGGGTTGTGCTTATACAGATTATGGTTGATCATGAGAGACTTTAGGGTCCAGAGGTTTTGCTTACGCTCAAAGTACTATAACTATATGTTGGCCTTTTTAGCAGGTTATTGTGCTTCAGAGTCCCTATACAGGTTACTCTTCGATGTTTCGATGTTTGAATTTGATGTACAAAGTAGCCTTGCTCCATTTGAGGTATATATTTCCTTTCAAGCTTGTCGTGACACTCAACATCAGAGCGAAAAAAAATCTAGTTTTATCTTCATAGGTGGCTGGGCGTTTATTTAATTTATAGTTTTTCAGCAAAATCTTTAAACACCTCTATTAGTTAGAAAATTTGGGAATTAAAGACTCCAAAAATCTGAATCTCACAGGCTTCAACCATGGGTGGCTAAGCTTGTTGTTATAAAAAAGTTAGAAATTCGGCCAGACCCTACCCAGCTACGTTACTGCATGCATTGTGTAAAGTGCTGTATGGATGACCAGCGTTTTAAAAACACACTTGGGGAATGGAAGGAAAATAATGAGGGAAAATTTGTAAAATTTAGGGCTTAGTGGTTTATTAAACTGCCCTCGTAGTTGTTCAATGAAAATGAAAAGAAACAACGCCCAACATTGTTAGCATATGAGTTGACTTGATAAAAACAAAAAGATGAAAGAGATTTTATTAATGTTTATGCAGGCAGTTTCACTATTCCTTGAGACCCTTGTTTGGAGCTGTTTGGTGATTATGGCCCTTTTGGAAACTAAAGTGTATATTAGAGAGTTCCGGTGGTATGTCCGCTTTGGTGCACTTTATGTCTTGGTTGGGGATACTGTGAAACTTAGTCTCATTCTTTCAGTAAAATATTTATACCCAAGGTACTCAGTATCATGCTACTTATTTCCTTTGTTTAAACTACTTGCATTTTCAATTCTAAATCTGATATAATAGTTGTTGATAAAGGTTTATTTGAAAGTATAGTGCAGCGCTATTATTATAACAATGGCACCCCTCTCAGATTGTGATATTTAGAATGCATACTCACAGTTGTATTATGTTATGCAGCTCTGTACTTTATGCGTACATCAGTTCATTGCTTTGCCAGGTTTGTTTTTGTATTGTAAGAATATATATATATATATATATATATATATATATATATATATATTCTAGTTATTTTTTGAAAATAAAATTTCAATTTAATTATGATCATATGAAATTAAAACAAAAAAGATTTGTGTCATTAAGAACTACAAACAAAAATGCCCTTGCTATGGAATGGAAGGAATCACCTTCCCTCACCAATAATGGTCTATTTCATCATATCAGACACAACAAACAACTTTTTTTCATTACATTTCTTCTCCGATCCCATCAAACACTACCTTATAGTAGAGACTCCAAAACAACAAAGGAACTAGGAAACCCATTTAAATAGATCGTTAATGATGAACTTATTGATTCTTTATAGTATGATGGATTATGTGATGCAGGCTTTATTTGGAGTATTTCTTCTTTCTTACATACCAAATTTGGATGCCTACATGGGTCATATACCACTTCAAACAGACCCTCATGATGACATCAAGTATGAAGTGCTTCATGGAGGAGAACATATTTGCCCTGAAAGGCATGCCAACATATTTTCAAGTAAGACTCTGTTTATTTTTTGAGATAATAAATATCCTCCTACTTTTTGTTCCTACTATCCTCCTACCTATTTTAGATGGTGACAAGTGTCATTAAATTTGATTGGGATGTTAAATTTGTACACTTGTCATCATCTTAAATAAATAGGAACAAAAGGTAGTAAGATATTTAATTTCTCTTATTTTTTGGATAAATTGAGAAAATGACAGGACACTTGTGAAAATGGAAGGAAAAATTTGTAAAAAGGAAACACTCTAGTGCATGTAATTCGTAATTTGAGAAGCAAGTAGGTCTCCAAAACTCGATATTTTTGTTTTTATTCATGAACATAAAAATCATACTGAAACCCTATATATAAGTGTTCTGAGATAATCCCATCCTAAAATAAAAGATGCTAATAGATATCCTAATCCTAATTTCAAATAAAGATAGGTTGAATAAATAATTAAATAACTACTATCTTGACCAAATTAAATCCATTAAGTAAAAAAGAAATAACACCGGTGTATGTTTATCATGGACGGAATATATGTTGATAATAGGGTGGGTGGATAATGGTTTTGGCAGGAATATATTTTGGATGGATGACTCCCCTTATGGAGCAGGGGTACCGAAAGCCTATAACAGAAAAAGATGTTTGGACATTAGATACGTGGGATCAGACAGAGACACTGAGTAGGAAGTTCCAAAAATATTGGGCTGATGAATCTCACAAGTCAAAACCGTTTCTCTTACGCTGTCTGAATAACTGTGTTGGAGGAAGGTGACTATTTTTACTGCTATTCTATTCATGTCTTTTGCACAGACAAGAGTGATTATTAAGCCTTTTTGTGTGACATCAGTTCCACCGATACCAAACCTGGTTTTATTTAACTATTCGCTGTTGGTTGTCCTCTGCAGGTTCTGGTTTGGTGGCCTTTTCAAAGTAATGACCCTATCAGTTATACTTCAACTTTTGAATTACTTCACTCAACTAACTCAAGATCCACATCATTTCATTTGTAGGTTGGCAACGATCTTTCCCAATTTGTGGGACCAGTTATATTAAACTATCTTCTACAGGCAAGTCCCATTTTGTTTATTTTTCGTATATAAATATTAGGTAACTACAATAAACAATCATCATATCAGTTTACAAAACAAACTATTTAGAACTGAAACTTTATGAATTATGACCATATTGATATGATCCATCTTTTTGCATTGCAGTCTTTGCAACGAGGTGATCCTTCATGGATAGGCTACATCTATGCCTTCTCAATTTTTGTTGGTGTGGTATGTAGTAATTTGTCTTTGATATCCTCCTATTTTATAACTTGACATTTTGTGAGCAAAAGTATATAGGAAAAAAAAAGGTAGTGCTAACAAATAGTCGACTATTCTTTCATTACATCCAGTCATTAGGAGTTCTCTGTGAAGCTCAATACTTTCAGAATGTTGCAAGGACCGGTTTCCGTATAAGGTCAATTTTGGTAAGTTGTTTATTTTAATATTAATATTATCTTCGCATGTTATTTTCAGGTAGTTAGGATGGGAATGAGTGGTTCCGTTTGTTTCATTGGAATGACATAAGCTGTTTGTTTTGTCTCATGAAATGGAATCATCAACCATTCTTGAAGGAACATGAATCCTTCCAATTTGTTAATTTTCATTCCTTGTCCAGGGGAGGGGGTATTCTGTCATGGAATGGAATAGAATAGAATGAAAAATTGTAATATTTATCATTCGTATCTATGTAACATATAATGCCTTTTTCCAAGTATTTCATGATTTTAAGTACATTACAGTTTTGTTTTCTAAAAGTAGATAGAATTATAGTTTTATTTGTGATATTTGTTATGTTTAAATTTCCATTTTTGCAAATAAAAATTCGCTAGATTTAAAACTATACATTATTCTTGCATATGATATATAGTATTGATATGTTCCAGACATATAACTAAAGGATTTTTACCTTGAAATTGTGTGTTGTTTCTTTATTTTAGGACCATATATTATAATTAATATGTGCTGGATGATTCCCTGTAGTTGTGGGTGTAAATGATATACAATATTCGCCAGAAACTCATTAGTGTATATTGTTACAGGTGGCTGCTGTGTTTCGAAAATCCTTAAGGCTGACCCATGAAGCACGAAAGGATTTCCCATCTGGTAAAATTACAAATATGATAACCACAGATGCCAATGCACTCCAGGTGTGTGTGTATGTATGTATGCATTTGTTTCTTGATGTTACCAAAAACAAAAAGTATGAACTTATTCCTATTTACAGCAAGTATGCAATCAACTTCATGGGTTATGGTCAGCCCCATTTAGAATTGTTCTTTCCATGATTCTTCTTTACCAACAATTAGGGGTTGCTTCACTTGTGGCTTGTCTGCTTCTGATTCTCATGTTCCCTGTACAGGTAATTTTAATATATATATATATATATATATATATATATATATATATATATATTTCAAGTTTGATATCCTTGTATTAAAAACAGGGTTTCTTTAAAACATAAAAGTTTTATACATACCGTTATTTGTGATGGCTGATCTGATAACAGACGATGATTGTGAGCAAAATGCGGAAATTATCCAAGGAAGGCTTACAGTACACTGACAAAAGAGTGGGGCTAATGAGTGAAATAATGGCGGCAATAGAGACTGTAAAGTATGTATTATATTTAATATTTATTTTCCCAAGGAACCTCACAAATTTTGGTAAAATGTATTATATTTATTTTCCTGCTTCAGATGTTATGCATGGGAGCAGAGTTTCCAAACAAAAGTTGAAACTATCAGGAAAGATGAGCTTCTATGGTTATGGAAATCACAATTTCTGGGAGCGGTCCGCAACAATTTACAAACATTTTTTTATTTTTATTACTGTACATTGTTAAAAAAAAAGTAAGTTCCAAATTGCTTACTTCTGTTTGCATTTGCAATTACAATTGCAGTGCAACAATTTTATACTCAACAGCCTTCCGGTTCTTGTGGCGGTGATTTCATTTGGTGTCTTCACTTTGCTTGGTGGAGAGTTGACACCTTCAAGGGCTTTCACATCACTTTCCTTATTTACAGTGCTTCGAACTCCTTTAAACACGCTTCCTAATTTAATAACTCAGGCAGGTTCTCTCTCTCTCTCTCTCTCTCTCTCTCTCTTTGGGTGAGAATGAGATAGTTAGTGAAGATGGTTGGTTGTTTGTTTTGTAGGCTGTGAATGCATACGTATCGTTACAGCGTTTAGAGGAACTATATTTAGGTGAAGAAAGAATTCTGTTACCCAATCCACCTCTTGAACCGGGGCTTCCTGCAATTTCCATAAAAAATGGCTACTTTTCATGGGACCCGAATGCCACAAAACCAACATTAGCAGATATAAACATAGATATACCAGTTGGCAGTTTAGTTGCAATCGTAGGTGCTACAGGTGAAGGAAAAACATCCCTTATTTCAGCAATGCTTGGCGAGCTTCCTCCTTTGGAAAATACTAATACTAGTGTTGTCATCAGAGGAACCGCTGCCTATGTCCCTCAAATTTCTTGGATATTCAATGCTACAGTAAGACCTTTTTTTCTCTAAAAGTAAACTCCCAATTTTTATTTTTCAATGCTACACAAACATACATCATTTCACTTTACAATTTTTCGTTTTGTGTTTGTAGGTACGTGAAAACATATTATTTGGATCAAAGTTTGAAGCTTCACGATATTGGAAGACTGTACAAGTAACTGCATTGCCGCATGACCTTGATATTCTGCCTGTTGAGTGTCCCAATACTTTAGAGCATCAAAGTTTTGTATCTTTTTAAATTGTGTGAGCTTGATTCTTGAGTTTGGTGTTCTTTTTCTTAGGGTCGTGATCTCACAGAGATAGGTGAAAGAGGAGTGAATATCAGTGGTGGACAAAAGCAAAGAGTCTCAATGGCTAGAGCAGTGTACTCAAACTCAGATGTCTACATATTTGATGACCCATTGAGTGCTCTAGATACTCATGTTGGTCGAGAGGTAAATTTATGGTACCTTCTTTTCGATTTTCTTACAATAATAATAATGATTGCAGAGTATACTAATTATGAAAATATACCTTTTCTTTAATTAATGATTTCACTATTTATTTGGATAAAATGATATTAAAAAAGCATTCAAGGAATGTACGAAGAAAAATTTGTAAAAAGTTAGGATTCCCAGGAGTCCGACTTTCTCTATTAAGTCAAAAAGGAAACACTCATGTATAGGCATAGGCATAGCTTACCAGAATAAGGCCTGCTTCTTTGTTTCCCAGCTATAAGAGAAAATAACTAAGCACACTTGACTTGGGGAAATTGAAGGAAAAAATCTGTAAAAGTTAGGATTTATTAAGTTGTTCTGTCTACATGAAGTAAATAAGAAACAAGGTCCCATACATATTTAATAATATAGGTTATGAGATGAAGTAAATAAGAAACAGCACTTAGGTTAGTCTTTTTATGATAATCTATCTACATCTACTACTGACTGGAAACAGCATACATGACCTGTCCTCCAGGTCTTTGAAAGGTGCATCAAGGAAGAGCTGCGAGGGAAAACAAGGGTGCTTGTTACAAACCAGCTTCATTTTCTTCCTCAGGTGGATACAATTCTGTTGGTCTCAGAAGGTATGGTCAAAGAGGAAGGAACTTTTGAAGAGCTCTCGGAAAGTGGGTTACTATTTCGGAAGTTAATGGAAAAGGTGGGTGGAATGGATGGAAGTGGAACCACTGAATGCACAACCAATACATCCTCAAAACCATATTCTGATCATGATCACGACTCAATAAATGATCCAACAACCATTACACCCACATCATCAAAAAAGAATCATAAATCTCTTCTTATCAAGCAAGAAGATAGGCAAACCGGCATTGTTAGCTGGAAAGTTTTAGCAAGGTAAACTTTAGGGGCTGTTGATAAATTGAGTGATTTCTTTGGAAGCTTAGGGCTGTGGTTATTACATTACATTACATACAGGTACAAGGATGCTTTAGGAGGCCTGTGGGTTGTCATTATATTATTAGCATGCTATATTTCAACCGAAGTCCTTCGAATTTCAAGTAGCACATGGTTAAGTTACTGGACAGAGCAAAGCACTACAACAGCTCGGGGCCCAGCTTTTTACATTCTCATCTATGCCCTCTTGTCCATTGGACAGGTACCTACACTCTACATACTAACCTCAAATCTTTTTTATTGTTAAAATTCCCTCCTCAACCCGTAAATATATATATATATATATATATATATATATATATATATATATATATATGTATGTATATATCTGTATGTTGCTGTTATTATTACGTCAAATCGTCAGTATTTTGTTACCAGTCATATTTTCATATATTTGGAAATGAAAACCTAAGTTAAGGGATTTCTAACATTGAAAAAACTATTAAGCGATAGTTGGTTACCTTTAACCCTTTTTATGCAGGTATTGGTGACATTTGCAAATTCTTTCTGGTTAATTTCATCAAGTCTCCACGCTGCTAAAAAACTTCATGATACATTGGTGTATTCGGTTCTTCGAGCTCCCACAGCCTTTTTCCAAACAAATCCCCTTGGTCGGGTCATCAATCGCTTTGCAAATGATATCGGTGATATAGATCGTAATGTTGCTAATCTTGCCAATACATTTCTGAATCAAGTTTGGCAATTACTTTCCACTTTTGTGCTTATCGGCATTGTCAGCACAATATCTTTGTGGGCCATAATGCCTCTTCTTCTTCTGTTTTACACTGCCTACCTCTACTATCAGGTTAGTAATATATTAGATCTTAATGTGGAGTAGCTAGGCAAGATCGTTAAACTTTAATTTTTACCCATTATAGAAACATACTTACATTTTTTTTAATGATATTATCAACGTACTTATATATTTTACCAACCCTATGGGCATAGTACTCTATGCTAAATATTTCTGTTACCGGTAATAAAATGTAAGTATGTTGCTATAACGAGTAAGGAATTGTAAGTACGTTGTTATTATGTCTAAAGAAAATGCAAGTTTGTTGCTACTATGGTTACATACTGCTGTTATCGTTAAAAAATGTAAATAATCGCAAATTCGGCTATTATGGGTGGAAAATAAAAAGGGTAAAGTACACTGCTATTTCCTGCAACTTGCACATAATAGCTTAGCAACATCCTTATATTATCTTTAATGTTCTACATATGCTAAATAGTATGGGTGACAAATGAAGTACATTATTGGCTAGGAAAAGGAGTAAAGTAGGTTGCTATTTTATTTACAAGGTATGCAGCATGCTAAGATGAAAAGTTTTCGTGCAGAGCACCTCAAGGGAAGTGAAGCGGTTGGACTCCATTACAAGATCTCCTGTGTACGCACAATTTGGGGAAGCATTAAACGGTTTATCAAGTATCCGTGCTTACAAAGCGTATGATCGTATGGCAAGAATTAATGGGAAATCAATGGACAACAACATTAGATTCACCCTCATAAACTTTAGTTCCAACCGTTGGCTCACCATAAGACTAGAAACATTAGGTGGCATAATGATTTGGTTCACGGCCACATTTGCAGTGATGCAATCGGGAAGAACACATGACCAAGTAGCTTTCGCATCCACAATCGGTTTGCTCCTAAGTTATTCCTTAAATATCACAAATCTTATGAGTAATGTTCTAAGACAAGCAAGTAGGGCGGAAAATAGTTTCAATGCGGTCGAGCGTGTGGGCACGTATATCGACTTGCCGTCTGAGGCTCCGGAAATAATTGAAAACAACCGGCCGCCACCCGGATGGCCGTCATTGGGTTTAGTTGAGTTTGAAAATGTGGGATTTCGGTATAGAGATGGTCTTCCTCCGGTCTTGCATGGCGTCTCCTTCGCTGTGTCCCCGTCCGACAAGGTTGGGATTGTTGGAAGGACGGGTGCCGGAAAATCTACAATCATCAATGCATTGTTTCGGATGGTTGAATTAGAAAAAGGAAGAATTTTTATTGATAATTATGACATTTCCACTTTTGGGTTGAAGGATTTGCGTAAAGTTCTTGGGATTATACCACAATCACCCGTTCTTTTTTCAGGTATGATTATCGGCTTGCTTGCATGGGACTCACTCGTGCATCTCCGACAAAATTTCCAATTTTTTCCCCTCCTCAACCTTATTATCCTTATCGTCCAATATAGCCCTACAAACAATGTTTCTATTTTTGGGCCTAGTGGAAATATGTATAAAATACAACTACTTTTTGTCATTTTCCCCCCATAAAAGTGATAGATAACTATTTATTTCACTTACTTTATGTATTGATAACATACGCATGTTTATCATTGAGTTTGCCTCTATTTGGATTATTTCCTGCCTAGGGACATTTGCTATACCTTTTCATATTGGCCATGGGACTGATTGGTGGGGATACGGCTTGCATTTTCTCTTTCTTTTGTTCGTAGGTTTCATTTTTTTAATTTGAAATAAATATTGCCAGATGCAATTATTAAGATAATTGATAATTGATAATTGATGCAGGAAAACTTTATGCTCTTGTTTTTTTTTTCTTTAAAGATTGTTATAAATAACCCAAACACCAAATATCTAATGACTTTCTTCTTTTCTAGGTACTGTGCGTTTTAATCTTGATCCGTTTAATGAACATAGTGATGCGGATCTTTGGGAGGCTCTTGAACGATCATATTTGAAGAATGCGATTTCTAGAAATGCATTGGGTTTGGATGCCGAGGTATGACTTCATATATTTTATTTGAATTTTTGTTTAGTGCAACATATTTGAAAATGCTTCCGGTTTTTTCTTTTTCCCCCCATTGAGTGTCGTCCGGTTGTCTTGATGAATGATGTTTTACAAGGTATTTGAGAAAATCAGCACACTTGGGGAAATGGAAGGAGAAAATAAAGGGTTAAATGCAAGAAATAGCAACATGTCACCATTGGTTTTTCTATAACATCCCACTTTCATTTCTTCCTATTACTATTTTGTACACATTGAAAAATTTTCAAAATGCCTTGATAAGAAAAAAAAAAAAAAATCCGACATTACAATGCTTTAAGTGGATAGATTTTTAAAATATACTAAGATGTACTCTAAAGTCATAGACTACGGAATTAATTGGATTTTTATTTGACGTATTTGAGAATATTTGAAAAAACTTGGACCTTATTTAATTTTTCTCCATTAAGTGTTGCCTTGAATTTCAGATAAAGTATTTGAGAAAATGACGGTATACATGGGAAATGGTAGGAAAAATATAAAGGGTAAATGCAATTTCATTTCTCCTATTACAACATTATACATTGAAAACTCTACCCAATCATAACATTGTCTGTCTGTCATCCAAATGCAAAACAATTCTCTCTGCTATAATTGGACAGACTTTTCAAAATATAATATCTTAATAAGAGAATAATTGGAAGTACAATGCTATGCCCTATAATTAATATATATATATTTCAAAACACATTGCCTTAATAAGAAAGGAATTGAAAATAGTATGCTGGAATAGAAACAAGTGAACGTTGGGTTGGGTGGTATAATAATAGTAGCATAACTAAATGAAAATAGGTTTCTATTTGTTGTAGTTAGTCCAAAAATAAATGAAGGAAAAGTTAGGAGTTAATGGTGAAAGCTTGATTTCCGGGTGTATAAAAAGTAAATGGTGGGGTGTGGTGAGGCGATTATGAATGATAATATATTTTTTTATAAGGTATTGGTTGATGAATGATGGATGGCTTGGTTTGGTTTGTAATGAAGGTGTCAGAGGGAGGGGAGAACTTCAGTGTTGGACAAAGACAACTACTGAGTCTTGGTCGGGCGTTGCTAAGGAAATCAAAGATTCTTGTTCTGGACGAAGCAACTGCAGCAGTTGATGTCAGAACTGATCATCTTATACAGAAAACAATACGCAAAGAATTCAAATCATGCACAATGCTCATTATCGCTCATCGCCTCAATACCATCATTGACTGCACTCGGATTCTCGTGCTCCAGAATGGTCAAGTATGCACCCTTCTTGCCCCTTGGAATATGTTTATCCTTTAGGACTAAATAAATAAGCTTTCTAGGGCTATTTCCAATGATAAGGAATATATATATATATATATATATATATATATATATATATATATATATATATATAAAGGGTTTAGGGTTTAAGGTTTAGGGTGTTTATAAAAGATTTAGGGTGTTTATAAAGGGTTTAGGGTTTTGAGTTACCCTAAACCCTTTATAAACATCTAAAGTTAGAGTACAGGATCCTTTGGTTGGGCCTAATGGGCCACTAAACTCTCAATTTGATTATTTTGGGTTAAGGAACCCTATTTGGGGCTTAAATAGACCCATATATATATATATATATATATATACCCACCTTTTTTGCAATTTTTGTCAGACATAAGTCCCACTCCTATGTATATACAAGATCGATCGTCTGTCATGCCTTGTACTGCGATTGACTGATGCATTGGACTAGGAGGAGACTGGAACACAAAAAAGTTGGAGACCTCTCACTCCCTTGTACAAAAGGCGTAAATACCCTTCTCCATCTTATCCACCCTTAGAATGGCTTTCAAGCCTAGTTTAATCCCATGTAACAAAAGTGAAGCAAAGCAGTTTTTACTTTTTATATCAAAGCTATTTGTTAAATATGAATTTGTTTTTCCAGATTGCGGAATATGATACTCCAGAAAGATTAATATCACGTGACGGGGCGTTCTTGAAGATGGTTCAAAGTACAGGGGCTGCAAATGCTCAGTATTTACAGGACATTGTACTAGGCAGAGAAGGAAATAAACAAGTTCACAAGTGATTGCTGACATTATCTGATGAGCACAAATTGGTCTGGAAGGATATATAGATATTATTAGATCACATTGAAACTCATGGTGGAAACAATATTGGTGCAGCAGGAGAAGAAAAGACAGACTCTAGTTATGTTGGTAAAAGTCAACTAACAAGGACCTTCAATTCATTCTACCATTAGGACACACTTATTTGTAGGGTATATATGTTGAAAGGGTGTTTTGATATACACCTTAATCTAGTATATCGGTCTCATGCTATGAATTATGTTGGGTTTTGTTCTTCCTATCTTTTAAACCTCAAATCTACTCTAATAAAAGAATGTTTTTGTTTGCCACATGTCACACTCCCAAATATCATTTTGTGGTTATTTTGAATTAATTTTTTTTTGCTATATATCACACCTTCATTTAATTTGCTAAATTTCATTTTGTGGTTATTTTGAATTAATTTATTTTCCATGACATTTTATAAGTTTTTCTATTCTAATAAATTCCGTAGAATATTTTAATGTAATAATTACAATAAATATAATAATAAATGAATATTAAATTCATTGGTGGATTTATATTTTTATTTCAAAATTTCCAAATTAAAGCTCATTATTTATTTTCTTTATTTATTTAGATTTAAAAGATATTAATAATTCATTATTTTTCTTATATTCTTATAAAGTTCTTAAATGATTTTTTAAAATTTTTTTTTTGATTAACCTACGTAATATATGGGTTTTACACCTAATCATTACATAAAATAATCGTTGTTTATCTTTCAATATTATATATTTTATTATTTGAAATTTTCAAATTGATATTTTATTATTGTTTTTAATTTTTAGATTTTAACATTATTAATTATTAACATGATATATCAGAATATATAAATATATTTAGTTGCTTTAATGTGTATTATATGATTAAAAAATAACGTTTTAACATTGATGTCACACGCTCACTTGCGATTTGTTTCTTAATTAACATTTAAAAAAAAGTTATTTAATACACCTCAGCGACTATAATAGTAATATTCATGTTAATTATTATTATGGTAATTTATCAAGGGTTTTTTTTATTTTTTTTTTATTTTTTTTTATATTATTTATTATTTTTATTTTTACCTTATCTAAAAAAAAAAGACAAATAATAACGAAAAATAATATATTAGTCACACCTATAAGTACATAAAATTAGTTATATTTAAAAAATATCGTTAATAATAATGCATGAAAAATGGCATGCTATTTTTAATCAGCATATGTTTATATGTTTTAGTAAAAATAATTTTAAAATCAGTTTTTTTTTATTAATAATGACAAACGATTCTATTATTTATGATAATATTAATTTATTTGTAGTTCATTAATTAATAAGCAAGATTTTATATACTTAAAAAAATATATATATATAATATTGTTTATTCAGTTTAATAAATATATTAAATGTTTGAAAAATTATGACAAAATGTTTCAAAATATAGAGATATTCACCAACGATTACCAAATTGTTTTGGATGCTAGTCACCAACAATTCCCACTTCTTCCATATATATAAACTCTTCCGAAAAAAAACCAATTACAAAATTGTTTTGGATGCTAGTCATTCTTGTAATAAAAGAATTTCTTAAGCAATCAAGACAAATGAACTAGTTTGTTTTAAAAGAGTTCCAATTATCATGATCTTCTAACTTTATCTTAACCATCTAAGACATAAAGAGGGAGAGAGGTGCTAAAAAATGGGATGTGATCAAAGAATAAGATACAAGCCTCTTAAACACTTCAAGAGTAGTTATTACATCGAGTTTATCCACTTTATGCACCATGCTTATATTAATAAAAGCCTATAGATTAAAGGGTATGGTTTAATTAATAAATAAGTCAAGCTTGTCTTTTGTTCCTTACCCTTTAGCCTGCGGTGATAGAAGAAAAGAAAGAAGAAAATGGCTGCCATTTTTTTTTTTATATAGAAAAGAAGTCTTAAAACCCTTATAAAAGATTTATATTTTCCATGCATGTCCTTCTCATGTTCATGACTAATGGTTATAAAGGAAACATGCTTCCAAATGTTGGTGATTTTAGTATCATCATGTCCATTTTATGTAACTGGAACTAACATATGAGCTAAGATGCTTTATAATTTGTACTCTAATATATGTACAGATTTGTGCGGAATGTACATGTATTAGATCAAATTAAAAGTCGGTTTGACGACAAGTCGGGGATCTAGGGGCAGCGCCCCTGGGTCTGGGGTTGCCAAAGGGGTAGTGCCCCTAGCGGGGTCCAAGGGGCAGAGCCCTTGGCTGGGGTTCCGCTGAGGGTGATTATGGTAAAACTAACGAAATTCGTTACTTTTGGAAACCCTAAACCCTCATTAAATTCTGGATTTCCCTGACTTGTTTCCAAAGAAACCCATACACGATCATTAGGTCACTTTTCTTCAAAAGAACATAGAATCCTTATAGCAATTTGGCTTACGATTTCTGTGCCTAGATTCGTAAGTGTCCTCTTGGATTATCCTAGGCTGAATTTCTTGTAACCCATACATATAGTAGAAATATCAGTCCGAAAATTGTTCACATGATCCAATGGGTATCCAGATCTCCAACATAAACCCTAATTCCTCCAACACCAAAGTAGGTGATTCTTAATATTATGAGCATAAAGGTGAAACATCCCAAAAGTATAATCCAAAAATTCCGTTTTACATCATCAAAGAAAAACCCATAACTCATAAAACAGCATAATAAAATCACATGTCGTGTATCTCAATCATCATATCATTAATACTATATCAAAATATTGTATCAAATATCAGAGTCTAAAATCTCCCAGGCTGAAGTGCGGTCATCCCGAGCCTTTCCCTTTACTAGCAGAAGTATCTGAAACCAAAACTGAAAACTGTAAGCATGAAGCTTAGTGAGCTACCCCAAACTACCACATGCCATATAATAACACATAATATCACATACCAGGCCTTGACCACTGCATTGGGCCCCGCCCGGCATCAGACGAATCCGACATTGGGCCCCGCCGGACATCAGACCGAAGTCCGACATCGGGCCCCGCCCGACATCGGTTTGAAGTTCGAAATACATATATCATAGCAACAAGCACATAACACATAAACATATAACATATAAACGTATAAAGCTTCCTCGGGCTTGCCCCGACATTAGACCAAAGTCCGAAACATTCAAACAAGTACATGCAAGAATCACAAAGACATCAAACATACAACATTCCTTGGGCTTGCCCCGACATCAGACCAGAGTCCGGAACATATACCTAAGTATGTATATGCTAACATACATGAACGGGTTGGCATTGGTGCCTTCGACCCGTTCCTCCTGGAGGAAAACTCACCTCTCAAACTGGATGATGATCTCGTGAGTGGGGAATCTCTGCTGGCCGCTCCCACGACTCCCCGACTGACTCTATACAACAATACTTAGTTAGAAAACTGGAAATTCATCGAAGGGTAAAATGACCATTTTACCCATGGTCAAAGCCAATGCTTTGGTCAAAGTCAACATTCTGGGTTGACCAACTCGCCGAGTTCTATAACTCATAAATCCTGGAATCGCAACTCAACTCACCGAGTCTTGTCGAGCTGCTCATAGTCGCGACTTGCCGAATCAACTCGTCGAGTCCCTCTACAGACTCGTCGAGTTCGACCATAAACTGAAACGGGACAACACGATCTGACTCGTCGAGTTCACTCATGGATTCCACGAGTCCTTCTGTCTGTTTGGCCATCTTAACATATTAAGCCCTTGTTCTATAGATCTAAAGCTCATACTTCAAATGTTTACTGGAAATGACCTTTCTAAGGGTAAGGTTTCCAACTTTACCCATTGATAACCCTTTTGAAGGGTTTAGCTAAAACCCTAATTCCTATAGGACATAGATCTTGTCCAAATAGCCTTAGTATCCCATACCAAATCATGAAAACCTAGATCTAGGGCCTAGATACCAGATAACCATGTAAAGTCTCGAGCTTGCTTCCATGCATGGCCCCTTTGGGGTTTTAAAGACCATAACAACATCCTTAGGGTTTGCATGAGGCTCATATGGCATAAATTTTGCACCTTTATGTGTTTACATCCCATAATGATTCCAGATCTGAAAGTATACTCCATTTGGGACATCCATGTCTCATAAATCATACTGCTTGGACAAAAACCCCATAAAAGCGACCACAAAGAGATCTAATGAACTATAAGATAAGTTGAGAGCTTGATTACCAGAAAGTGAAGAGGATGGAATGAAATCCTTGGATCTATAATCTCCTCCTTGAACCTTTAAGCTTCGTCTTCCTCTTCTAGGCTCAAAACATACAAAATCACTCAAAAATGTCTCCCACACTCAAAGAACACTCTAGGGTTTCGTGGATTAGGGTTTAAGACAAGGACGCTGTAAATGAGGCCAAGGGGTGGGGATTAGGATGCTTAAATAGGGTGCAAAACCCCAAAATTAGGGTTTCACCCTGACCGGGCTACTCGCCGAGTCGATAACTTAAACCCCGTGCATAGACTGCCCTCTACTAGACGAGTTAGGGCCACCAACTCGTCGCGTCCTTTTCTCAAAATAAATAAATTATTAATTTAAATGCGTACCAGGGAACCAGGCATTACAATTCTCCCCCACTTGTCTTAGACTTCATCCTCGAAGTTTGCTGCATCAAGAAACAACTCCGAGTAGTGCTCCGTCATCTCCACCTTGGGCTCCCATGTCCACTCTGAACCCTTACGATGCTGCCACTACACCTTTACTAGCTCAACCCTCTTGTTCCTCAACTCCTTTGTCTTGCGATCTAGAATCGCCACCGATCTCTTAATGTAATTCAGGCTATCATCAACCTGAATATCCTCTAAAGGTATAACTACCGTGTCATCCACTAAACACTTCCGTAGCTAGGAAACATGGAAAGTGTTGTGAATCTGGCTGAGCTCCACGGGAAGATCCAATCGATACATTACCCTTCCCACCTGGGCAATGACCCTAAAAGGGCCAATATACCTTGGGCCTAGCTTGCCCCGCTTCCGGAACCTGATAACACCCTTCCAGGGTGACACCTTCAGGAGAACCATATCGCCCACCTGAAACTCCAAGTCTGAACGTCTCTTGTCGGCGTAGCTCTTCTGCCGACTCTGAGTTGTCTGGAGCCTGCTCCAAACCTGCTAAATCTGCTTTGTGGTCTTGAGTACTACCTCCGTACTCCCCATGATCCACTGACCGACCTCACCCCAACAAATTTGGGCCCTACACTTCCTCCCGTAGAGCATCTTGAAGGGAGGCCGGTCTATACTGGCGTGGTAATTATTGTTATATGAAAATTCCGCTAACAGAAGATACGTATCCCAACTGCCACTGAAATCCAAAACACATGCACGAAGCATGTCCTTGAGAGTTTGAATCGTCCTCTCGCTCTGTCCGTTTGTATGGGGGTGGAAAGCGGTGCTGAAGTGGAGACAAGTACCCATCTCATCGTGAAACCGCTTCCAAAATTTGGAAGTAAAATGGACATCTTGATCTGACACCACTTAGACATGTACTCCATGACGCGCCACTACCTCTCGCACATAAATCTCGGCCAACTTCTCGGCCGATATTGTCACGCCCCCAAATCGGAACGACGGAAACGTTCGGGGGT